TCTAGAAACAAACTTTAATTCCCTGTATTAGCGGAGTCAAGTTATGATGACCCTGGATACACTCTAAACCAATTTTTAATGATTACTGTCAGAGCAGTTCTTTTTCTATTGAAAAGTAATGGCTTATGATATATTGAAGGCCAGATTAAATCATCCTGACTATTCCTTCTGGTCTAAGTCTCTAAAACTGGGAAAAAATTACTAGGAGTTAAGCTTAAGAAGAGGCATAATGGATAAGATGTATAGAATAAAATTTCAGTGTAGTATGATGTACTGTCTAATTTATCAAAATGTTACTCAGATCACAAAGAATTTTGTTATATCTATACATATGTATATACAGCGTGTCTGTGTATGTGTCTATGCTTCTGAAGTAGATAACAATTCTGTAATCAAGTTGCATTTTATGTGTTTGGTTTTTTTCCCCCTATATCTGGTTTTGTGCATCATGGACTTCATACATTCCTATATGCTAAAATGAAAATACCTTGTTGGTAAAGATCAAGCTAAAATTTTGGTAGTGAAGTATGGTTTGTTTACATCTAATCTCAGAGAACTAAAATCTTAATCCTGTAGAATTTTTTTTCTTGGTACATTAAATGCTGTTACTTTGGTTTTACTGTGTCACATGTCTGTAATAGCCAGTCATCATTAATCCTGAGCAGTATTCAGCAACAAGTTTTAATGATGAGAGTAGTGGTCTTTTGTTGTGTGTCTTGTTACTGGCCTTAAATTAGAAAAAGTGAAAAACTAAACTTACTTGAAACAGGCAGGGTTTTTGGAGATTTTTTTGCTTGTTTCAAAAAAAGTAGTAAAGTGTGCTCACCTGTGTGACCAATTAGAGACTCTGCAAGGCAGTCATTAAAAAGGAAGTGAGGCAACACAGCCAACAGGAAATGCAGCAAGTTTTAGGTGAACAAAATTAGGCCTGAGAGATCAGGAGGAAACTGAGAAAAAGGTCTTAAGTCTCCACAAAATTGTGACAATAGTTGCAAAAGGGTTTCTTTTCTAATGCTTATTTATCTGTGATTTTTGCAAGTATGATAAACAGTTTCTTACTTTCTGTAATGGAGATTTTTTCATATGTATTAAACTAGATATTTGAATTCTAGTCTATTCACTCAGCTCTTCATACCAGCATTTGCAATGGTTAATAGTATTAACAAACACGTAATTACTTGGAGGACAGGGGTGAACATTAGGACATACAGAACTTGCAGACACGTGGACTTCAGTGTCCTGGGACTGTGTGTGGTTGGTGACGTACCACCAAAAAAACCCCAAGCTTATTCCCATATGTAAGGGAAACTTTGAAATGTACAAAGTGAAAAGCTCAGTGTGGAGCTTTTTACTAAAATTTTCTGTACCTGGAGTTTCAGCTGTTATGTATTTATTCAGAGGTGATTTAGCTGCTCATTGGACTCCTGGTGAGCATATACAGTGCAAACTTTCTCTTTTTGTTTCTTTATTTTCTTAGTGCCTTTTCTTATATTAGAAAAACTGTTGCATGCCTGTGTTTTTTAATATTTGTGGCATTTTTGTGTACTGTTGTATTGTCAGATTTAAGAGGTTGTCTGTTGGTATCTTCAGAGTAGTGAAGTAACATTTCTGCCTGGAATGGGGCAATGTTTTAAAACTCCAGTAGGTATGTTATCCTGCATGTTGTATCATGTTAGAGCAAGCTATTAAAAGAGTTCATCTGTATTTAAGTGCCCAAATAAAAACATCCCATCTTGCTTTGAGACACCTCATCTTTTGTTGACGTTCTTTCTTTATCCATTGATTTGTCTATTTCATGCTGTTGGTCTCCTTTAACTTTTTTATTGATGAGTTGTGCCAACCTTTTGCTTTGCATACACTGCAACTGCAATGTTGCCTTGTTGCCTTGTGAAGCTTGAGTGTTGGTGTGCTAAATAGTTGTATGTTATGTACTAAGTCAGTCAATAAAGTTTTAGTGCAGATGGTTTCCACCTTTTTGCCCCCATCACAACACTGTGACATCCTACAAAAGCGGAATAAATCATATTAACTCTGCCTGCAGGGCAAGGGTTGGGGGCAGAACAGGGAGGATATGGAGGTTATACTCTGTATGCTTAGCTGAGCATGACTTGCATTGGAAACTTTAGTTTTACTTTTGTTGACTATTAGAGTAGCTTGTTGAATAATTAAAATGTGCTTCACTAGCAGAGGGAAAAAAATCTATCGACAGCTTTCACTGATGATTTTTCTGACTTGGGCAAGCACTTTTTGGTGAAGGTGTCTTTCCCTGTGAGGTGTCTTTCCCTATAGTTTTGCAAAAAGTTTGAGCATTGTTTGTAAATTACAGCAGAAGATTAATTTCTTTCAAATTCCTGTGGACAATAGCATTGAAACTGATAGTTGCGATACTTTTGATTTTTACTTTATTTTACTTGATTACTTAGATCCCCCCCAAAGTCAGTCAGGCACTTCTGTTCCATAGCATTTAAATAGGATTTAATACTTTGTATGAAGTAATTGTATAGGCAAAAGAGGCATCAAGATAAATAGTAGTATATATACACCATGTGTTGCATAATAAAAAGGGTATTAAAACCATAATTTTTTAAAAAAAGTAATATGTTTGTATTATTCATATGTTTGGTAATCTTAAAGTGAATTCTACACTCTATCAATACACTTTTTCCTTAAGAAGGTGACATGTGGATATTGAATTAACCACAGATATCCTTAAATTAGAATTTAATTTTAAGTGTCTTTACTTAAATTTGCGTCAAATTATGCAGGATTGAAGAGGCTCACACACTCTTAAGAAGAGTAATGCCTGAGCTCTAATCATATTAGTAGCCCTCAGAGGAAAAAATCTTCTCTCTATTGCAAATTATTAAAGGTTTTCTGTGAGTGGTATGGCACTATGTTTGGATTGATCTGATGGTCAGTTCCCATTAAAGGCCTTAGGACATCTGTTCCCACTGCTTCATGTGCATCCTCGAGAGTCAACTGAGTTTGTGAGTTTCCTAAATTGGCCTTGCACAGCAGGGGCAGCTCTGGAAATAGCAGAGTCAGGGCTGCTGTTTTCAGTGACAGCTGGTTGTTCAATAGACTCAACCTGCAAAGTTAAACTTCACATTCCATGATATGAGATACATGAGTGTCTGCATTTAATTTTTTCACTTTTAACTTCTACCTTGCTATGTCACCATATATTTCATCCAGAAAAGCACTTTTTAATGAAAATAATTCTTGTTCAACAAATTCTATAATTTTGTGGATTTTTTTTCCTTCATAGCCTTGAAACACTTTTTTGTGTGATCTTGAAATCTGATTCTTTATAAACCTCTGTAAGTAATTTCTAAACTAAACATAATTTTCTTGTAGTTCATTTTTCAAGAAAGACTTCTTCCCAGTATTTTAAAGAAACATGAAATTTGTTGCTTTTTTTTCCTGGTTTTATTTTGTTTCATTCTCTGTTTATAATTTGTATATGGGAAGAAAAGAAACCCCTACCAAATATGCCCCCTTCACCAACCAAAAAACACAAAAGCGAAATATGCAAAAAAAAACCCCAAATACAAACCAATTGTCCAAAAAACCCACAAACCAAAATAATCCTTTTTGAATTATGCCACTGGAGCATTTAGTTAAGTGCCAGTATTGTTTGAATTGGCGCCTTTGGCATGTTGCAGCCGGAGAAGTAACATTATTATTGTTGATAACAGAGAGCTGAGTTGAGTAATAGACCTGTGGTAAAGACGCTCAGGTCTTTGGCCTATCTAATATATTGGTTTAGCATTTCAGGAATATCATGTTCCATGTGTGTAATGATGAGGACCTTCAGCCAGTTCACTGATTTGGCTTAAAATATTAACTACAACCCTGTACTTGTTGAGTGTAGTTTTTCAGTGATACATAATTTATGAGAATTTGTTGTCTTAAATAGTTTCGAAGTATGTACTTTAGAAATATTTTCCTTATTTTTAGGAATCGTGCTTTTATTTTTCTTGATGACTGCATGTTTTTCATAAGCAGCATTTTAAATTTCCCCTTTTTACAAAAAAAAATTTAGACTTTTCTTTTTCATATATGGTAAATACATAGTTGAAGTGTGGGTGGAAGGAATAGGAAGGGGCTTTGAACAATTTTTTGAATGGAAATACATGGTGCCATCCCATCTCAGTTAATATTAATGAGCTATTCTCCTTGCCCCAGCAGTGATGGGCATTAGTTAAAACAAACTATACTCTTTGCTCCTTTGCATCTAGCATAAATTTTAATTTTATTTTACTGGTGCTATAAGATGAAATATGCTAATTCTTAGAAAATACATTGCAGCAGCTTTTCTGTTCTAATAATGGCTTCACTACAGCATACACAGGAAATGTCTCACAGGCTTTATTAGTAGTGGAGGAGAAAGTCATGTTTGTTTCCCTTTTATACCTAGACAGTTCATGGATTTTTCAGACTTTGCCATTTGCAGAGAACTTCTAACAGTTTGGGTTTTTTTTTTTACTTACTTTCTTATTTTGAACTATAAATAGTCCCTGAAAAGGACTTCAGTTTTCTCCAATTGTTTTATATCTAAAAATTTTAGAATGCAACCTCAGTCAAATCTATGTTTTTTTTCCCCATTTTTTTTTCTTTAGCATGCACAGTGTTAAAACAGAAATTTGTGTGCAAATCACAAATAGTGGTAGTGCAAGAATGCTTAACTCTGGAAAAGGAATTTGTGTTATTCATCACCCAAATGGAGGAGAACTCGAAGAAGTAGGGGTGAGGGGGAAAAAAAAGTTTGTTCCTTCTTCTGTGACTTAGCTTCTGTTGATTCTTGCACTGTTTTTCCTTTACTACGTTGTCTTACATTATGGCTTCTTGAAATTTCAGTCTCAAGTGTAAACAAGAAGGAATAATTTATGTCCATAATAGGGTAATAAAAAAAAAGCCCTAATTCCAGCTCTTCATGCCTCTCAAACATCTTAAAGAAGCAAAATAGGGCACAAGCCCAATTTTTTTTTGCTTTTCAGGTCTCCTTTAAGAGCAGAGACAGCCATGATGCAGCAATTTTGGAGGTAGAGGCAAGTAAATGTTTCACGTCTTGTAAACATTCCAGTGAGTTTTTTTCCATTTTTGCAAATGGCCTATTATTTGAAGAGACTCTGGTTGAAAAAGGAGCTCAGCCTCTACCCCATTCTTAAATTTGCTTTGTATGATTCGATGTGAGGAAGAATATATATTAGCTTTTATTGATTATAGACAGGTTTCACATCAGTTACACACTGCAAATACCCATTTGGTGTAAAAATATGTAGCTGTAATATTAGAAAGGTTTTGGTAATAAAAATAGTTGAAGTTTTGTCTTTTGAACTGATCTACAAAATGAAAATTTGTGTGTTGTAAGTGATTTTCTTCTTACGAAAATAAAAGAAGTGTTGATTGTTTCTTGCCCTCAGCTACTGGTGTTCACATCAGCTTTTTGGCATTCTCACTTTGGACAGTTGAGCAACCTTTTATGTAGTTGTACAAAACCTGTGACCACTTCTGTGCTAGGGACATTTCTGAAAGCTCACGTTTAGTTTCTCTGATGGCATCACATCCTCTTGAAGGCTGTATTAGAGGTACAGGAAAGAACTATCCGTCTGTTTTGCTGATTTATTTTTTTAAGACTTTCTTATTCCTTATTGTGACTAAAACCAGACAGTTTGCATTGTTGCATAAAAAATACGGGATTACACTGGGAAAATTTTGCTAAACCTCTGTTTTGGGAGGGGGGAACAAATGTTCCAGTCCATGTTAGAGGGTTACAGTGGGAACAGCAAAGAAGCTAGATTTTGGTCAGCTAATGTGAGAGAATAGTTCAGTGGGCCCAAAAAAACGTGCCAGTTTGAGAAGGGAGAGGATGGGAAAAAGGAGGTGAGAGGTCAGGACCTGTCAGTTGGCAGTAAATCCCTGTCATCTCTTGAAAATGCATTTTGAGAAAAGCTGTAATGCTTCTGCTTTTCTGAAGAGGAAACGTTTATACTGAAAAAATTGACCATTCTCTTACCTGTCTCTTGAGGGTGTGAGTAAAGTGTGTAATTATTTTTGTCTTCAGTTCATGTACAATGCTGTCTTATTTTCTGAGGTGGATTAAAGCATTGTAAAATGTAAGAAAAGCTTCTTAATAATGACCTTTTGTACCCAGTCTTACCTTCTTCAACTTCTATAATTCAGAAGTATATTGGATTAAACTGTAAAACTTTCATTTGATTTTTTTGTGGGGGCAGATAAGCGCACAATCTAAAAATGTATATAATGGATATTTTAATGAAAGAAGCTTTTAACTTGTCTTTTGAAGAGCAGAAGCAGTTTTTTAAATAACTTTTTTGCATGTTTTGGATAGTGTACTGGAATTCGTTGAAAAGTTGCTCTTTTTAAAATAGTGACTTGAGTAGCACATCAATGATTTACTTTGCTTCTGTAATTTCATACTGTAATGACATTCTGTTTGCCTCTTTTAATCTGTCCTATATTTACTAATAATTTTTGTCTCTGCATTAATGTCTTTGGTAGCAGAGGGAAATGGCTAGCTGAGGGAATGTCTTGAAAAAAACCGAACCTGAAATTTTTCATAGTAAGCATAATTTTGCATATTATGGTGACTTGGAATGGAACTGTGATAATTTGGTTAGTTATAGATCTTAGCTGGCACACTCAGTTTTACTCAAAATGATACAAGTGAAGATGTCAGCAAATTCATTATTTAATGAGTTTTTTAGAAAATTACATTCCTTTGGTGAATGTTTTTGTACGTTTTACCAGAATTTCTGGGATTCAGAAAGTTTTTGTGAAACCAGGTGTCTTTTTGGAAGGATGATGGGGTGTCCTAAAGAGCAGTTGTAGGATTGCTAATTGAATGGGATCTTGAAGGATTAACATCTAGACATTCTCTCCTGAAACCAGTATAGATGTAACTGCTGTGATATTTGACTATGAATTATAATTATGACTAGCTAATACTTTCTTTTGTGTGTATGTAAAGAGCAGGAGGTTTATTAAACATTGTTTTCCAATTTAAAAAGTGGATGTAATTGTCATAATTGCTCCTTTACATAAATCATTTATTTCATTAATTTCACAAAATTTTTATTTTAAATGTGTTGCACAGATGCTATACATAGAGCTGATGCTAGTGTACAGTATTTTAAATGAACTTAAAAATTTGTAGTTTTCAGCTCATTAAGTGTAGAAAGTGAATAAAAACTTCCAAACATGGACCTTAAGGACAGATTCATTGAAAGACCAGGGAACTCTGTGCAAACCATCAGAGAGAGTATGAGGGGTTGCAATGTTAAAGTCATATTGCTATGTGCTGGCTTTTTTTGTTTTGTTTTGGGGTTTTTTGTGGTGTTTGTTTGTTGGAAGGATTAATTTCGGGATTTTTTGGTGGTTGTGTTGGGCTTTTTTGTTTGGTTATTTTTTAATGCTATCTGAGCAGTGAAGGGAGATCCTGAACATCTATCATTCGTGTGCTATAGAAAAGGTGTTCCTAATATACTATCAGTGGTATTCTCAAAAGCCATTTAATATCAGTGCCAAGCTGGCACTCAGCTATACAGTCTTTAACTGGCATGACTATTACTATGGTTTAATCCAGCCTTGGGAACATGTGGCATGTGCTGGAATACTCCTCATTCTGTAGTCATCCTAATCATTGGAGTAGTTGAATGAAATTGGTCGTAAAGAAGGTTTGGAACAGTGGTCACACTTTTGAATTATCTTGCTGGTAGCTTGATTGTGTCAAATCCCATGTAATTGTAGCAAGGATTTGAGGCAACTGCTGCAATAAATCTGTAATTACAGACTGTGCAAGGTTTCAGTCTTAAAGGGAAAACTTGTGTGTTGAGATTATTTGAGGCAGGAGTTCTGAATTCTTTAAAGGACTGAGCTTTAGTTTGTTAGCCAATGTTTGTTGTCAGTCCTGTACTCAGTGGCAAATTTTATTTTTCTGTATACTTTGTAACAAAATTTCATTTATTTTTAAGATACGTTAGTTTACTTAATTTGCATTATCATCTGTGAAACTACACATTTTTAAGAAGATTCCAAAGCTTTATGTCTAAGTGAACTTTATTTTAGAGTTAATCACTATGCTGTGAATGGCAAGGTTTTGTTCTTTGACACAGCCTTGCTTAAATACATGGGACATAGTGTGCTAGTTTCTTGGGTAAGCAACATGTAGCATTTGAAGTGGAAGGAAGCTGATGCTCTGCAGGCCTAATTCTGAGTGGAAGTAGAATTTTCAGAAAACTTAACTTCTAACAGTAACTTAGGTATTGAGGTAAGATGACATTTGGTGTACGTGGGACTTCTAAATGCCAGCATGTCCCCTGGGCAGTCAGAGCAAGGGGCTGCCCACCCCCAGTAGCTTTTGGGAGCGGCTGGGCTGCTGTGGTGTGGTGGCTGTGGCTGCTCTGTCCTGCCAGAGGTGTGACTGACAGCTGGCAGCTTCCTGCACAGAGAGATCTGCCTGTGCCCTCCTCTGAGCTCAGCCTGCTGCTTGTGCAATGTGTCACTGAGCCAGTTCAGCTTGCTAAACAGGCAAAACCTATTCTGACAGCTGTGGTTTGTGCTGTGTTCAATCGGCTCTGGAAGGCCCCAGCAAGAGCTGCTGCTGCTACAAAGAAGAGGGAAGGAGAAAAGAATGGAGCCACTTCTCTTGTGGGAGTGAGCAGTAACCCTGCAGGTGTGTTAAGCTGAAGTCTGTGGAGGAAACCCTTCTATACAAGAAAACTCAGAATAGTTCTGTCTTGGGATTCGGGACAGTTTCTTTCTCTGAAGTGACAATGCAACATTGGTGTTCTAATTACAGACATTGCATCTAAAGTTGTCAATATTCACTGAAGCAACCACTTATGGGAAAGTTTGATTTATGTTTAGCATTCTGCTTTCTTGTTGGCATAACAGGCACTTTTAATCCAAATGTACCAGGGTAGTGTTTAGCTGCCTAGGCACTTGAGCCTTCTTGCTATCTTGACACACCTAGAGGAAGCAGGATTACATCTTTGAAGAAATCTCCAATGAAGATTCATCCTAAGAAATGAAACAAGAAAGGCAAAACAAGAAAAATACTAGGTATTATCATATAAGTACTTGATACACTACTTTTTGGTAAGGTCAGGATTGCACAAAGCACTTCAGTTTATGCATGAGAGCTGTTGTAACATTGGTTACATCCCTCCCTCTTGCCCTGTTTTTTCCAGTCTGACGCTGCCTGCTCTTGTCAGAACTTGGTTATTCTTTGTTTCTTTGTGATTTGGATGTGTAACTATTCTCAAGAATTGCAAGATACAGATTTTGAGCTAAAACCCTGGCATTGCAACCATGTCAGCCTGGTCCTAGCAATAAAAACAGCTTTGCTTTCCTACACATGGCCCCTTTCCTGCATTTGACTGCATTCTTGTAGCCCACAAGTAAAGTTCTGTTGACTAAGTCTTACACGTTAAAGTTATATACTCTGCCCTTTTCCTTCCCCAACCTGAACCATTTTGACAAAAATCAGTGATGTTGAATGTTTGTTTCAGCTCTTTTAATTTATTTTTTTTTCCTCATTTCTCTGAGCTGTTAAACAACAGTTTCTTTATGGCTAGGGAAGTTATTTGAGATACTTGAAATTACTAAACTACTACCTAGTTATGTTTGGTTTGAGTAATGAGTTTCTTTTTTAATTGCTTTGACAAACAGTAATAACCAAAGATCACAATGTCCTAAAATAAAACTAACAGCATACTACTATAACAATAATTTTATTTATATTACAGGTCTCACTTGAGTTTATAGAAACAGTAGTAACTTCATGTTCTTAAACTGAGGTCACATTTTTGTACATGCAAAAAGTAAAAAATATAAGCTTGTTACTTTTTTACTTCTTTTTTTGGGGGGGGGGCTAGGAAATAGGGAAGAATGTTTAGTTTTATTTTCTTAAATTTGGCTTCTGTGCACAGTTGTATGCTGCATCTGAAACTTTTCCATTATATTGTGGGTTAAGAGGTGGTGCTCTTTAATTTTCTTGGCACACTGAGGTTATGTTAATGTGTTC